GCCAGTAGTATCAGCATCACCTGTGAACTTGTTAGAAATGCAAATTATTAGGCCACACTTCAGACCTACTGAATCAAAAACTCTGAGGGTGGGGCACAGCAATCTGCTTTAATAAGTCCAGGTGATTGTGGTGTGAGCTGAAGTTTGAGACCCACTGAACTACAGAACTCTCAATGTATAGTTCTGTGCTTGATAGAGAAGCAAATAATTGTCACATGTGGTGATGGGATATTTTGGTCCTATCCTGAGGCCTATATAGGGATACAAACTATTTGCATTAAGTACTTAATTAAAATTAATTCTGTTTTGTGTACTTAGAAAATAAGTCATACAAGATTAAAATGAAAAAAGTTTGAGTCATCTAGTTCTAAAAGTGTTCTCTTTAGATATATTCTGATATGGCTTAGAACTATTGATCATTATTATTCTTGTTTTTGTTATTATTACTTTATTTTCAGTTATATTTAGGAATAGCCTCATGACTTATTTCACAAGACATAAATTTCCCTAAAATTTGTCTTTCAACTTTTATTATTTTGCCTTCTGTGTTTTTCTAAAGCAAATTTTATTTAAAAACAAAAAATTCATTTTTAATTTATATTTTTAAACCAATCATTTGACATTTAATTTTTGTTTATTTTTAATTGTATACTTCCACAATTGGTTTCTGCAATCATACCTATATATATATACCTTAATGATAGTTCCTTCTTTCTTAACTAAGTGTTTAACGTTAAGTTTATAAGAACAGGTTCAAATCCAATGATTTTTTTGATTATTCTGTTCTGGGCCTTAGATATGTGTACCCTATGGATAAAAGCTTATGTTCTTATTAGCTATTTTGGGAAACCCATTTTAGGGAGAAACTAGTTTTATTGGAAAAAAATTTTCATATGCCTGCAATACAGTAGAGGTAGGTATTTTGGTTGGTGTCAGTGAATGTTTTGAATAAAAAGAAGGAACACTATTTAATAAAGTCAGAAGAGTGAGGAAAATTTAGGGCTGAGCAGAGATTGGAGAAAGATTCAAGGAGATGAAAGACTGGTGGTCGTGTGGCTGAAGAGGGATTTACGTGGGGAGAGAACTGTCTAATGAAAAAATCTCAAGTTTCATGCATGTATGCCTTATAAAGCTTCCTCTCTCTCTCCCACATGAACTCTTTAGTATATTCTACATTCCTTACGATGGTTGGTGGACTGCATTTTCTTTGGGGGCATACGTGAAGATGTTCTAAATCTTTCTTTGAAGGTTGGTGTTTGGCAAGAAAAATGTACCTGTAGTGAAAGTCAACACCTGAGTTTCCACGAGGTGGAGGTGTGCTAGTAAAATGAAACTCTTAAAGATGATAGAAAATATATTTTTTCACAGTGTAGAATTACTACAAATAATCAACATATGCATTAGGAGATTTAGATCTCTAAGATATAAAAGGAAAATATGATTCAGTAAAAGTATTTTTTCTTTATAAAAATATTAATACTTGTTTAAATAGATCTTAAAACTTAAGTGACTGCGAGCTGAAGAGCTAGTTCAATTGGTATTCAAAAACTAATATTCAAAAACACGTGATTTTCATATTACTGAAAACAGTTTTTTTAATAAATCTGCATATGTAAATTTCCCATATAATTGAAGTTTCAAAGTAACAACATCCTATTTATAGTTGAGTTTTCAGTGGATCCTGCATTATAAATTTTATTGTTCATTTTGGTGTACTGTTACTCTATTTAACCTTTTCTTGAGGAGATATGACTGTCATTCTGAACACTAATTTTGAGTTTAGCATTGAGCAGGGCCTGCATTAAGCACTCAGTATGTATTTAATGAATGAATGAATGAACTAATGAGCTGTACCCTTTATTTTCAGATCTAACTAACCAGGAAAAGATCTGCTGCTTGTCTTAAGCTTAATTGTCTTAAGTGATAAGCTTAAAAAGAAATTCAGGGGGCCCGCCCCGTGGCTTAGAGGTTAAGTGCGCGCACTCCGCTACTGGCGGCCCAGGTTCGGATCCCGGGCACGCACCGACGCACCGCTTCTCCAGCCATGCTGAGGCCGCGTCCCACATACAGCAACTAGAAGGATGTGCAACTATGACATACAACTATCTACTGGGGCTTTGGGGGAAAAAAAAGGAGAAAGATTGGCAATAGATGTTAGCTCAGAGCCGGTCTTCCTCAGCAAAAAGAGGAGGATTAGCATGGATGTTAGCTCAGGGCTGATCTTCCTCACGAAAGAAGAAAAAAAACAAAGACATTCAGTAAATGTATAAAGTGTTACAGTACCCACATATTCATATTTCAAGCTTTTTTTCTCTCTAATTATACTCTAAAATTCTTTTCTTTGGAAAAGGAATGTCATACCATTTATAGGTGAGATGTATTTGGGGTTCCAGGAGCCAGAGAGTATAGCAACACAGAGCCTGTGGAGCTGCAGGCTCCTTTCAGATCGTCCTTGTGATGGGGAGCAGGGAAATGTTTAGAAGGATCTTTAATTAAATGTTGTTTCTTACCCCCAGTGTTCAGACTGGTTGGGAGTGACGATCCTTAGAGCTGATGGGTGAAAGAGTTGGTGTGTAAAGAAGGAAATCATGGCCTAAAGTGAGCTTCCTGATGCTTCTGTTATCTCTTCGGTTGAGCATCTAATGTCACAGCATTGCAGTGCATAGCATCACAGGGCTGCTTAATTTTTTTTAGAACTGTGAAATATTTTAGGCATAAATGAATAGGGAATAATGTAATAAGCATCTCTGTGTATATGACCTACCTTAAGAAATAAAATATTACAGATATTATTGAAGCTCCCTGTGTTCCCTTTCTTCTACCCTGGGTAAATCACCCATAGAATTTGATGTTTAACATTCTCATTTCTCTTTTGATATTTTTACTACATACATATGTATCCATAAATATTATATAAAGCTATTTTGCTTATTTCTTGAGCTTGCTATAAATGCTATTCTTCTATACCCTTTTGAAATTAACTTTCATGTTTTAGCTATTTGTGTGTGTTGATTTATTTGCTCTAATCCATTCAGTTTATATCATTCTATAACATCCTGTTGTTAATTATTGACAATGTATTTACCCACTTTGTAGCTGATTTAAATTTTGATAGCTTCCATTTTTTGCTATTGCAAACAATTCTTCAATGAAATTTTTTTTTTTTTTT